CTGGAGCTATGCTATTCGTACAAGATGTCATCTTATTAATCGTCTTCCATCTTCTGTGTTAAAGGGAGCTGTTCCTTTTACTCTTCTTCATCCTAATCAACCTTTATGGTCTATTCGTCCTCGTATTTTTGGTTGTGTCTGTTTTGTCCATCAGTTGTCTCCTGGCCTAGACAAATTATCTCCCCGTGCTGAAAAATGTGTCCTTCGTTGGTTACTCTCGTACCCAAAAGGGTTATGTTTGTTATAATCCTACTTCTCGTCGAGAGTACGTCTCTGCTGATGTTACCTTCTTCGAGGATCGGACATTTTTTGGTAATGTTTCTTGTCCCGCACCGTCTTCCTCACCTTCTCAAACATTGTTAGTTCCCTACCTATATCTCCAGAGAATCACCATATGTCTCTTCTACTTTTGTTCCATCAAATCCAAGTTCATCTCAGCCACTACAGTCTATACACGTGGTCCTCGCCGTGCTTGGAATCATGACTCTCCATCGGCGGACGCCTCACCACTATCTCCGCCCCGCTTCGATCCTCTTCCATCACCTCCAGTTGACTCTCCCGTTGCACACCGTACTCGATCTCGGTATCCTCTTGCTCATTTTGTGTCTTATCATAATTTATCTCCTCAAATGTCATCATTTGTGTCGTCTCTCGCATCTGTGTCTGTGCCCAATAGTGTGCAGGAAGCTTTAGCTCATCCAGGTTGGGCTCGTGCTATGGAGGAAGAAATGGCTGCACTACAACACAACAAGACTTGGGAACTTGTCTCTTTACCTCCTGACAAGCAATTGGTAGGTTGTCGGTGGGTATTTGTTGTTAAATATCATCCTGATGGTTCTGTTGAGCGCTTAAAGGCGCGTCTTGTTGCGAAGGGCTATACTCAAAATTATGGCATTGACTATGACGAGACTTTTTCTCCGGTGGCTAAAATTCCTTCTGTTCGTGTCATTATTTCTTTGGCTGCTCGTTTTAAGTGGACTCTTCATCAGCTTGATGTTAAAAATGCGTTCCTTCATGGGGATCTTCAAGAAGAGGTCTATATGGAGCAACCACCCGGGTTTGTTGCTCAGGGGGAGAAGGTATGCCGATTGCGTAAAGCTTTATATGGACTAAAGCAGTCTCCTCGTGCTTGGTTCGGTCGTTTTAGTGATGCTGTTACCAGTTTTGGTATGCATCGATGCAATGTGGATCATTCCGTATTTAGTATGTCATCTTTGAAGGGGTATGTTATTCTGGTTGTTTATGTTGATGATATCATTGTTACTGGGAGTGATGTTGAAGGCATAAAACGACTCAAGCAATTTCTACAAAAGGAGTTTAATACTAAAGACTTAGGTCTACTTCGATATTTTCTCGGTATCGAAGTTGCATATACTGGTGATAGTATTGCTCTTTCTCAGAGAAAGTACGCCATTGATATTCTTAAGGAGGTGGGCTTGCACGATGCTAAGCCTGGTGATACACCTATGGACCCTGGGGTGAAGCTTGATAACGAACACGGGGAGCTTCTTCATGATCCAGAAAAATATCGTCGGTTGGTAGGCAAGTTGAATTATCTTACCATTACTCGTCCAGATATCTCATTTGCTGTTAGTGTGGTGAGTCAGTTCATGAGCTCTCCTCGTACTACTCACTGGCAAGCTGTCTTACATATTATACGATATTTGAAGGGAGCCCCAGGTCAAGGGCTTGTATTCCATAATCGGGGTCATCTTAATGTAGCTGGTTATTCTGAGCCAGACTCTTTGGAGGTGACAGGATACTCTGATGCAGATTGGGCTGGTTGTCCTGTAGATCGCCGGTCTATATCAGGGTACTGTGTATTCCTTGGAGGTAATCTTGTGTCGTGGAAGAGTAAGAAACAATCGGTTGTTTCTCGATCTAGTGCGAAGCGAGAATATCGTGCTATGGCTAACGTTACAAGTGAGCTTCAGTGGATTCGTATGTTGTTGACCGGAGATTGGATTACATATGGCAGGATCGTCTACTCTCCATTGTGACAATCAATCTGCCATTCATATTGCTAGTAATCCAGTGTTTCATGAGCGAACTAAGCATATAGAGATTGATTGTCACTTTGTTCGGAAAAAGGTGAATTGTGGTGATATACAGCTGGTACATACACGGTCTGAGGAGCAATTAGCAGACATTTTCACGAAACCTCTACGGCGTGGACGAGTTTCATATATTTGCAGCAAGTTAGGTCTTTTTGATATGTATGCCCCAACTTGAGGGGGAGTGTTAGTTTTATTATTAGATAATTAGCAAGTTGGGTTTATTTTAGGAAAGGGTATTTAGGTCTTTGTATCAAGGCTTAACCCTAAGCCTATATATACTTGGTTTATCTCAATAATAAAGTAGATCTCTTTTACCAAATTACAAGATGTTTCTGGAGAAAAAATAACTCCTCTAAATTTTTCCAGTGAGAATAGATAACAAAAATTACCAAGGCTAGGCATCTAATCATAAGATCTTACGAATTTGAATTACCAAAAGATAATGTCATGTAAGAACTTAACATACTGAGATGCAGCTCCCCCTACCCTCCTAGTCTCTTCACTTTCTCCAACTCCTCCCTCCATCCCTGACCAGATTGTGTACAAATATGCAGCATAGCTTGAGATATATCCTATTCACAAGTAAGTTAAATTCCCAACAACGAACTTGATTAGTCAAAATGATGTGACGAAATGCCCCTTTAATCAGAAGAAGATAAATTTAACTTCAAGTAATACAAAATGTGAGAAACTTTCCAGACTAGACTCTACATTTTAGCAATACAAAATGTGAGAAACTTTCCGACTATACTAAATCTCTCCTTGTAGGGAACGCTCAATCAAGACAAGAAGAGGAGCCGAAGTAATATTACATCGTGAGTCACCAACGTAAATCGAAGGAAAACTACATAGATGCCCGACGACATTGAGATGGTACTGCATGGGCTAAACCTCGCCAACTCCATGTTGGCATCTAGCATTTCAAGATCGACATAGCTAGACTATCTAGCATAAATGACATCCCCTCCAAGTCGAGTTCTTTATTTTTCATGGACACTTTAACTGGTCCACCAAAAAGGGCAACAAGATGGCAAAACAGGAGTATGGTACACTTCCGGTTGGTCTAAATGACCATCGGTTAAGATATGGAAAAAAATCCCCTAAGGCACCAACCTTGTCTAGAAGTTAACAGGAATGTATCGCTGCTATAAATAAAAGTCCCTCCATTCAACGGATATCGCTTGGAATTATTTACATGCAACTAAGTCATCTCTAAATTTCATCTTGTATCACCGTCATTCACTCTTCATTTTTGTGTAAAACACCAATTCCTTAAGTTCAACGTGGTCTTCTTGTTCATACATTCGAGCACTTTACCTCTATGTTCGTCCAATTCTCCATTGAATGCAATTTGGACCGAAAGGAAGCACAGACATTTAGGAAAAGCGAAAGAACTAAAACGAAATACGGCCAATGACTCAAAGGGTACAATAAGCCATCGTTGAAGACAAGAACACACTCAAATAGAAAAAAGAGAACTTTCTCGAATTGTCCACCCTCGCCAATTGAAGCAATGAAGCACCACCTTCTCATCCTCCGTGACTATGGCCAGCAAATCCTTCTCCGGATTCCACTCCGCCATCTTCACCTGCCAATCAGAAATCAAGTAAATATCATAAAACAGAGGCCGAACAGTCAAGTCAACCGCCCATTAGGTCACAAAAGCACGTCGAATGGGAGCTGAACCCGAGAAGCCGCGAGTCCGAGAGTATGCGAGAGAATATTGCGAGAAGAGGAACAGGTTGGAGAGAAAATAAGAGAGACAAACAGACTTGATTACGGGAGTGGAGGCGACGGTTTCATCTCCGAAAAGCTTCATCAAATATAATACGGCAACCTGGGATGACAACATGCCGACAACCTTTACCATTCCAAGGATGCATTGTCGGGGTTTGGACAAGTTCCTGGAACATCGAGCTCAAGATCCTTTGATGATTTCGATTCCTTTTAGAAATGCCTTGCGAAAGCTCTCTTGGATATTTCGGCATTTACATCAAGCGGTGGAATGATAACCGAATTCGCCAATGAGTCGGATGAAATCGACCCAAGAACTAAGATCACCAAACTACTAATAATACTCAAGTTTACGGATCCGTGTTTGTCAAACTCGATATCCTTTTTGAACTCTTTGGATCCAACTAATGGGGCATCTAACATCGGCAACCACGAAGCCTTGATCAAATTAGAATAGTGAATTCAACACAAGTTGCTTGCTTTTGTGGGACATAGTATGATCCTTTTCTCATCATTATGTGCTATTCATGCATTAGAATTGATGCAAGACAGTTTTCAAATGGCATACAGGATACCGCAACATCTCCTAAGGAAACTTATGGAATTGCTTCGTCTGTTTTTATTTTCAGCATGTAAATGCACTAACAAGAGCTTATGCACAATATAAGGGATTATTTCACGAGCAGGTTGATTATGTCAAAAGACATTCTAGTTAATTTCTTGCTTGGCTCAAAAGTTCGGGCATATGACGATGGCTTTACCAACTCGCAAACATCAAGATGCATTATTTGGAAGAATGATGTTTGCTTCATTTCTCTCCTTATACAGTTTGTAGGCGGATTTGATTCAGAGACAATGCAAGCGTAAAATGTGTAGGACACAAATGTGCGGATTTTACCCCAAGTCAGTAGCATACGCATACTAAGGGATGCCCTGTCAACACGCTCCTTTTCCACCGTAAATTCACTCGGTAAGGGTACCTTAGAAACATGCGATCCGAATCGCATGATGAGTGAAAGCAAACTAAAACCTCACATTAGAAGGACCGCCATATAGGGTCCTTCATTTAGCATTTCTCGGCCTAAACGATAAACTTTGGCATGCTATGAAATACCCGTATACATCGGTTTTTATTCGCACCTCCAACATTCCGTAATCAATCAAACGTCGAGAATCTTTATTTTTCTCGCATAGGATGACGGATCCTCCCCGAAAGACTAATGACAAATGATGCGCTTAGAAAGCCTTTTCTTCTATTTCCATTGCTGGCATGATAAGCAGAATCATATTGCCAAAGCACACATTGACTTCCATGAACATCTCCCCCGAATACCTTGAATCCAAGTAAGGATACAATCATGACACTGTCAACCAGGAAATACAAAATGCAAATTGGGCGGTAGATCTCAAAAGAGCAAAGGTAACTTACCTGCTTTATGTACCCTTCGTTAGAAAATGTGGATCATTTCCATTATATTGACTCATCCTCGTCGTACGTATCGTCTGATTCCTCGTCTAATTTCTCGTCTGATTCCTCGTCTGATTCCTCGAAATTTCGATCAATCCGCACACCAGATAATTCTGGAATTGTTTGGAGCGACTCGCATCCACCGATTCTCAGTTCTTCCAAAACCTCCAACGTATCGAGGCCTTGAATTTCGGCTAAGTTTTTGCAGCCTTGAGCGTTTAATATCTTCAGCCTCCCGGATTTTGGAAGGTCTAGCCTTTTAATTGAAACGCTCGCAGAGACATCCAGGCTTTCCAAAAACTCCAACCTATCGAGGCCTTGAATTTCGGCTAATTTCTTGCACGCTTTAGCATATAATTTCTTCAGGCTCTTGGATTTTGGAAGGAGCAGCCTCTCAATTGAACCGCACCGATAGATAGTCAAGCTTTCCAAATATATCAATTTGTCAAGTTCAAGACCTCGAACTTCAACTAGATTCTCGCAATCAACGACGTATAATGTCCTTAGATGGATAAACTGTGAAACGTCCACTGTTTTAATAGATCGACAGAACCAAACGTCCAAGAATTCCAACTCGAAGGGAGTGTTTAGGGATTGTGGTAATTCTGATTCTTCAATGTCTGTCGGTTGGGAGCATTTTGAATTCTTCGATAGTGTTGATGGAAGCACTTCGATGCACTCGAGAAATCTGCAGAACCAAACTCGTAGTCGCTTGAGATGGGTTAGGTGGGAAAGTGAGGGCAATTTGCGGCTTCCACGGTGACGCTCAAATCATTAAGTTGGAAGGAAGGTTGTCCGGCAACGATTGGAGCTGTTCGCAGCGAAGAAAATCAAGGCGTTGTAGGGAAGAAAGATTGCACATGCTCTCCGGCAATTCCCCTTTCAGTCTGAAGCAATCGAAAGCGCGTAACTCTCGAAGCTTTCTCAACCTCCTAATACCCTTGGGTAATTTTTCTATACCGGTTTCAGAAATCTCCAAAATCTCTAGATTCTCCAGAGACTCTATTTCTGCTGGAAGCTTTCTAAGGAACCAACACCCCTTCAAATCCAAGCGAAGGAGGTCCTTCATGTCTCCAATTGAAGGATGGATCTGCTCCACTCTCAAACAATGACTGAGGATGAGAACCTCCAAATGCTTAAAAGCGGAGAGGAAGATCGTATTTTGCAAGAATCCACAATCCGTAAGGCTGAGATATTTGAGTCTCTCTGCCATCTGGTAAAATAAAAATAATAATGTTTGTAAAGGGATTAGTCTAGATTGACTATGATTCAAAAGAAAGCATAAAAGGAAGAAAAAAAAGAGACTTGTTCTTACCATGAAAGAACTCCATCCTTCCCATTTCTCATTTATCTCGCAGTTTCGCAATTCGAGCACAACTAATTCCGTTACATGAAAATTTTTTACTTCAAAATTCATGGGACATTTTTGCCATCGAAGCCATTTTAACCCCTCCATTGAGTCTTTAAAATCTCCACTAAGTTGTGCCCCATCCATGTGAAGGAATCTTAGACTCGTCAATTTTTTGAATTGTTCTTCTGTGTAAATGTCGCCATCTCGCTCGGTTGTTTTGTCGGAGCCTTCTGAGCTGCCTTTACTAAGATCAACCGCCTCAGTCTTGTCCGTTCCCTATTAGCAAGAACCTTCATTTATACTAAATCCAACTAAAGTAATCGAATATCTTCTGTTTATATTGCTAGCAATGTGAAGATATGATTTTCTTCTAACGCCAATAAACAGTATTTAATAGAAATATATATTTTTCTCTCTATAAATTTCATATTAATTTCGTGTATATTACTCAACTGAGCTACTTACATGATTAATAAAGAAATAACATATACTCTTGTTTTCCATTAGAGTAATAACTAATTACAAGAAACTGAAAATTGTGATGGTAGTTATATTAATGTATTATGTAGTTATTATTTTACTAATAGTAACTTGAAATATTTTTAAATTATTATTTTCTAATTATAAATAACTAAGACAATAATATTGGTTATATTCATATTCTCTACAACTTGTTATTTTATCATAAATTTTAGTTTAACTATAGATTACAACTTGATATATTCATAATCATAAATAACTTAGTTATTCAAAGTATAATAAATATGATAAATAGACCCTAAAAACTTTAATGTATATTAAAAGGATTAATTTTTCAAAGTGCAAAGCATTTTTGAAAGGTGAAAATTGAAGCTATTCTTGGCTACAAGCCTACATGGAATAGCTTTTCCTTGGCCCCCCAGGAATAAATATTCGTGATTGTGAGAGAATAGTAATTTCTATTCTATTTTTTGAACAAAATGAAGGAATAATTGCTTCATCAGAATAGATTGGAAATAGAATAGTTATTCCTAAGAACCAAATGTGTAGCATGCTTTAACAAAAAAAAAATCACTTATGCATAAGAAGGCAAGAAGTAATACTGAAAGTTCATGAATTTCCACAAGTCAATTTCTCCAAACCAGAAAATTTTGTTATTGTACTTCACAATGTTGTACAATATTTCATGTATATTCGTTTTTCTTTTGGTTAGTTTAGTTTATTAATCATTTAGTACGAAAGACATAACAAATAGACATTGGCTTTGAATTTGTTAATATATGAATTGGCTCTTGAGATTATACATGGGTCGCCCGTTAGGATTGCAAATAAGTGTCAGTCTTTTTAGCATCAACTTGAGTCAAACCAAATGATGGATTAAAAGTAGTAGAGTAAAAATTATAATTAATTTCACAAATACAATCGCATACTTAATTATACAAAATAGAATTTGACTATTTATCTCTTTGACTTTTTATGAAGAAAAAGTAAAACATTTATCTTTTTAATGGCATAAAATACGCTTGATGTTATATACGTACACACACATAAGGAATTTATGTTCCTATCTTATTCGCTATGTTTTAAATCAGTCCTTGTCCTATGAATATTGGTAAATGGAATTCCTAACATAATATTACATAAAATAAGTATCTCTTCCATTCTCCATTATGAAATAATGACTAAAATTTCATGAGAAATGTAGGCATCATTAGTCCTATTATATTAATTTAACATTTAGATTTTATAATTCTTTGACTTATATATCCTGAGTGCTTATGGTTTATAGCAGCATAGTCAAGTTATTTATTGCGTGTGTCAAAGACATAAATGAAGCAATTATAGAAATTCAAGATCTTTCCAATATAGAATATCACTATCAAGCATCTAAAAAATTTGAAAATATCTCATTCTTGGAGATAATTTCATAATATACACTTTAGAAAAAATCTCAGATAACACTACAATACTTACTAAGAGAGAGCAACCACCTAACTTTCTAATCTCGTCAATTAAACATTCGAGGGCAATAATAGTAGAAGGTTCTCCGTTCACTAGAGCAAGCACTAAGAGGACCAACATAACTCTAAGACTACGTTTGGTAGTCGAGATGAAATTCAAAATAGGATAAATTTTATCATTTCTCGTATTTGATGCCTGCCCAAAACAGGATAAAATCGGATATATGATGGATATAAACCAGATAAAGTTATCCCATGTGGGAGGTTGGATAAAGGTAAATAGGATTTATAATATCCATGATATAAAATTTATTTTTCTCGAATAACAAACTTGTTAAATTAATACAATTAAATAATATTTGAATATAAATAATATTTAAATTTTAATATAAAATTCAAAATAACAAAAATAACAATAATTTCGTTTTTATTTATTCTTATTTTTATTTATATATTTAAATTTCTTTCTATCTAATGATATAAGTTTCATATATATAAATAAATACATTTAATATTTATATTTATTACATATTTTAGGTATATTAGTATAGTTTACTATTTAATAAAATTTTATTAGAGAACATGGACTAAGTGAGCAAAAGACACAAAATGGTTACCTTATTTTCCTTTAGCACTTTCACAGCTTCCTTGGTGTCCCATAACCTGCTACGGTACCAAGGTTGCCGCTCGTTTTCCTTTCGAACTATTTCTCTACCAAGATCTCTCAATTGGTCATGCATTTTGAGCTCATGATGATCTCCAACTTTTATTAATGACATGAATCTCAATATTTCAATTCCCTCCCCTGGGAAAAGGTCACAGGCGTCCCACATGTAAAATGCGATTCTCTTGTCAGTGCCAATGAAAAAGCAAGCAATATCCAAAAATATTTGTTTTTGTTGACAGTCTAATGCTTCATAACTTATTCTTAATTTTTCTTGCACTTCCATATGAGGGACTTTTTTTAACTTCTTTATCGTTTCTCTCCATTGCGTTGACTCTTTTCCACAAAATAATGAACCAAAAACCTCAAGGGATAAGGGAAGCCCACCGGTGATGGATACAACCTCATGAGTGAGGTCCTCAAATTCCCTTGGAGGAGAGTCCCTTCGAAACGCATGTTTGCTAAATAGAATCAAAGATTGATTGTCATCCATTTCCTTATGGCCATAGTCGTAGTCCACCCCAGCTTCTTCAAGAATCCTCTTGTTTCTAGTGGTAATAATGATCCTACTTCCCGAAAAAAACCAATCACGATTACCAGCCAAACGCTTCAACTGAACGACATTATCCACATCATCAAGAAGAACGAGGACCTTTTTACCTTTAAACTTGGAGGAGATGAACATAGTCCCTTCATCCTCATTACGAACTTCATTTTCTAGCTTCAATATATCATAGATTAACTGATTCTGTAAGTAATGAACGCCACGCTTCCACGATTCCCTTATATCAGCAATGAAGCTACGATGCTCAAATTGATTGGAGAGCTTGTTGTAGATGGCTTTAGCAAGAGTAGTCTCACCAATGCCTCCCATTCCGTGGATGCCAACAAATATGGTGGCATGAGATTTCTTATCCATAAATTCCATAACCTCCTTCGCATGACTATCAATTCCGACCAAATTTTCAGAAATAACCAGCTCAAATTTTTTCTTCAATTCGCTCAACACTTTTCGGACAATCGATTTCACCAACTTTGCTTCATACCTGTCAAATGTGACGAGTTCAAATATGTGACTACAATAATTTTATATTGTTTATCTATTGAGAACACCGTAATAAATAAATCTTGGGATAAATAGAAAATCTTTAAGAATTGTTTTTGTCACACCTCCATATATTATTTATATGCTAAGACTAAAGTGGGAAATGCCTATGGTTGCTTCGCAGGGCGTGCCCCATTCCACTATTACTCTGACACAATTTATTAAGCCAGAAGAAATTTGAGGGTATTGCTTATAAATCTTGAATATTGTATATATTATGGATTTGAACCAAATTTTGAACTTGTTGTTTGTTAACGATATTAAGGACGACGTCGACGTGACTTTGGAAATTTTCTAGAGCATTTGAATGAGCAAAAATCCAATAAACCAACCTAGTATGAGAGTCAACCATCGATCAATAAACATGTCATAACTTTTGATGCAAGAGGATTTCAGACCCTATAATACGAATCCGAAAAGTTGTAAAGAGTGTGATATTGTGAACTACCTGAATGCAATTGAGGTGATTTCTCCTTGTTTGTGCAATTCTACACGCTTGCAAGTTTCTACTTGTGTTGTGAATTTAGTATCATTCTATATCGGTGTTCTTATCTGTTTCATTGCCCCCAAGGATATGACAACAGGTTGTACTTCATTTTCCTTTTGAGTATCTATGTTCTATGATTTCAATTGATCTAATATCGATTTTATAGGGAAGTAGAATAATTTTTACCCAAAATAAGCACATTGCTTCAATATATGTAGGTGTATGAGATAGAAATTACTTGTTAAAGATAGGAAATGCATTGATAATTATTTAAATAAACATAAAATAAAAATAATCCTGTTTTCCTTTTTATATTTACAATCATCATATATAACCAACGAAACATTTATTTTGTAAAATAATTTTAATAGCAACGAATCAACGATATTAATGATTTAATAAATGTAACTTGGGAAGATAAAGAATTATGGCTTGGACAATCACCATGCACGGTATATGACGTTATGAGCTCTGAATAAAAATCACCAATAAGTTGTACCATTAATCTCAAATAAATATGTAAATAGAAAAGTTTGTACCATTAATGCAATATACACTATAAACATGAAAAAATGGCCCAATGTTACAAAATCTTTCGATATAAGAGTAAAAATTCATTAAAAAAATATTATTATTCAAGTGTATGGGATCATAACAATAAAATCTATAATTAGATTGGTCAATATCAATAAAGCAAAAAACTAAAAAAAGAATAACTTATAGAACTCATGCATTGCAGGATCTTAGTGTCAACAAGATCTTTATATATAAAGAACGAAAATGAAGCAGGTGAGAATCTGAACAACTAGTAAATACCCACACATATTAAAAGAAACAAGAGAATGTTTGGTTAAAAACTTTACCCATCTGCTTCATATCCTTTCAATGTGCTGACTTCATCGAGTGCTTTCTTCCATTTCTCCAAAATCGTTGGGTCGAAACACCTCTTGCGCAAACGCCTCTCGCGCTCATGAAATGCGTCTCCGAAACTCCCAATTTGATGTCCCACTTCAGCTGGTTTCACTTTATAGAATATCGGCAAGACTATCTGCCCGTTATTATTCTTGCACTCCATTATTTGAACTAGTTCATCCAGGCACCAACTGCTTGCACCATAATTGACGGAGATAATGGGGATCAGGATCTTACTGTTTGTGATGGCTGCCCAAAGCTCTGGTTTGATCTTCTCACCTTGGTGGAGCTTGTCATTGTCTCTAAAAGCATGAATTCCGGCATCGAGGAGCCCGTTGTAGAGGTGATCGGTGAAGCCTTTTCGAGTATCTGAGCCTCTGAAGCTCAAGAACACTTCGTAGAAGTTTCCAGTCAACGAACTAGATGCACTGTTGTTAGTTTCTGTCGGAGACGAACTAGATCCACCGGAATTAATTTCTGTCGATGCAGTCATCGAACCAGATGAGCCAGTATCAACATCTTCTGCATTTCCGCACGCACTAGTTTTCTTCTTCTTAAAGGGACGATGCATTTCGTCTTTGCTCTGATGCTGCCCGTAGTTTGCGCTTTCAAGTCTGACAAAGAAGAAGGCCAGAATGCCTCTCAGGAAATAGGACATGCCTTCTTGTTGCCCATTCTCTCGTGGTTTGATTTACATAATGGGACCAGTTGGCGACCAGAATCGCACCAATAAGTCAAGCTTGTCAACCACGTGCTTAGAGTCGTTGCCTTAACGCGGCTGAAATCTCAATGCACAAGAGAATCCAAGGCGATACTTGTTCGGGAAGAAGTAATGAAACGAAATGAAACCAAAGATAATAGACATAAAACGGTGGATTTGTTGGGAAGATGAAAAGTGGAGAGAGACTTGGGATGAGTCTTCGTTGAACTTAGTCTACTGCTTGCAACGTTCAACTTTCCTTTTGCTTTTGTTAATTTATTTTCCATCAGAGAAGGTGTTTTTGTTGAATATATTTAAGCTCTTGATCCCACTTAGGAATTTATCCCTCTCACTTTGAGCCTTTTAAATATTGTACAGTCAAGCCGATAAACTTTATTTCAATACTGAAATGTTGTATCATTAACGATCACTTATTCTAAAAAATTATGTTATTAACGCATGTCGAGGATCATAAAAAATTACCAAAATACTATATATATATATTCATTTTGTACCCGAGCAAAATGAGAAAAATTTCTTTTTGCTCTGGTTCTGCCATAATTTCTCCTTCAAATTTCATAAATAAATCAAAATGCCTTTTTCCTTTTGCTTTTACTTTATTATATATATTTCTTTATTGGTTGGACTTATCTAATACAACCGGTTGGCACGCACCAATAATTGAAGCTTGCCAAGCTAGACATAAATTAGTAATTTATTGACCGGGACCACTAGCCATGCATTTATAGTCGTTGCCTTCATGTGGTGGAAGTTTCAATGCGTAGGAAGAAGAAAACATGTGAGCAAGTTTCGATGCAGAAGCAATGAAAAAAAATAATACCAAAAATAAAAGACAATTGCTGTATTGTTGTTATGTTATCCGTGGACAAGTGGTCACAATTGATAAATACATACAAAGCGTCACGACAGTTGTTGCACCGTTGAACTTTCCTTTTCTTTTCTTAATTTAGCTTCCATCTTTTGTTGAATATATTTAAGTACTCGATCCCACTTAGGAATTTTCCCCCCTCACTTTGAGCCCGTTAAATATTATCGTATCAAACCGATAAACTTCATTTTACTACTGAAATATTCATTATTAACGATCTCTTATCCTAAAATTTACTATATATATAACATTCAGACAGAAACTTTCAATTCATCTGTTGAAGTTATTCCTGAAATCACAATACTGAAGTCTCTTGAGAAGTATCAGATTTCTTGAGTGGAGATTAGTGAAAGATGAAATTTGTTTTCCAATAGCTTTAGTTTTGATTATACTCAATAAGGGTTTTGTTTACTAATCTGAAGTCCAAAAGTCATGCTGCATATTTTTTAAGTATTCTTTCATTTTAATTGAAATTGACCTTCCTTCATCAGCTCAAAAGATCGGGGAAGAAGAGAAATTAGATGGGGCCCGCTACCTAAATCTTATTTTTTAAGTGAAAAATGACACGTTTGGCATGCACCATTAGAACCTTTTTCCCTTCGACCTACAACATTAAGGAACTAGAAAAGACGAGCGTAGGTATCTTTGTTATCATTGGATGACAGTTTTACCTCATCTCACTCATTTAGATCATAACATTAGGTAAGGGTATAGTGAATATTTCGAGAGAACACAAGAAATTCTCAAGTTTTTAGTTTTATATTTGTATAAATAGATAATGTTTAGAACTTAAATAAAGCTTTTTCAACCATAGAAACTTAAGAATTCTAACTCCACAAAGTTCACAAAGCTATTTTCTTACCTACATAGTACCAATAATCGCCTAATCTTTTGGATTACTATAATTTTAAAAATAAAGTACTTAATTTCAAATATGTTGAGTTTTTATATATATTTCGAAATCAATAATTTTGAATTTACTTTTTTTTAATATTATGAAACGATCATGCCCATGCTTGTTTTAAGATGAATTTATTACTGTGTTTGGACAAAATGATAGTCTAGAAGAGTACTAGCTCCCATGTACAAGCTTACATGGTGCCTACATGCACAAACCTTCTAAGAAGGTAAATTTTTTATCATCATATTCTTGTGAATGTTTGATTTTAATCCTTAAAAATTATTTTAGTGACAAAACTAGTCAAAAACATATTCATTAGATTGATTAAATGTTTTTGACCCTTTAACAAATTAAATTCATTTTCTTAGATAATCCAAATCAAGCACATATTTGTGTGCCCTTTTTTGCTAGTGAATTGAATAAGTGAACTGATCTAGGTGGACTGATTCCTAATTTTATGATTAAACATGATTTCGTTTTGGATATAATTTTTCACGTCACTTTGCTGATATGGATTTTTTTACTGAGATAGAAATGCCATGTCAAACAACTAACAAAGTTTTTTAATGTAGTGTAAACGGGGCAAATTTGAGATTGGTTAGTGATTTTTTTAGATAAAAATGTTCGACTAGATTTGGGACTGGAATAAAGTTTGGGATTTTTTTTAGACAAAAAAATTGGGGGCAGATTTAGGACCGGATCCAAAGTTGAGGGTTTTTTTAAATAACAAAAGTTGGGGGTAAAATTAAAATTGGACTTAAAATTTAAGGATTTTTAGGCCATTAGGTGTCACGCCCCGAACCCCATCGAGCTCGCGACATCCCGCCCCGGTCGAATTATTGCGACGTCCCAGGAACATCGCCGACCCAACCCAAACATCAGAAACACATGTGGAAACGAATATAAAACCCCCGACTAAAAGGACGACGATGGGGTAGATCAATAAGACAGTCAAATCACAACAACGTTCATTTATATACAAAGCCATTACACCCAGCATACAAATATCATATTACAAACGTACTATTCAAGCCAGCATTCGAAACCACCAATATAACAAAAAGGATCAGGCGGCTTGGTCAACTTAACTTCACTATAGGTCGACCTATTCTACGCAACCCCCAAAAATACCCTAGGGGAAAACTACTGGTCGCCCTCTTCCCATCCGCTCCTAAATCTTCTGGCTTCTGCTCCGGAGGATCACCTGCAGCTCCACTGAACACCATGGGCGGCTCTTCAAACTCCAAAAAGAGGAGGCGGACCTCCCGGGTTTAAGGTTGGGGTCTGAAAGTGGTGGTTATACAACCGTGAGACGAATCTCAATAAGTGTACAACCCCAAACCCCACATAGACTCTCACGTATCGCCAGACGGAACACGCAAAACATACGACAATCACCCATACTAACAATCACACACGACCCTACCTGGAACCCATCATGCACGTCCCTGCAAGTTAGATAATAATACATCCAACATGCCACAACAATGAGTCACAGTCGCGCGCGTGCCTCGATTATAAGGCAAAACCTACTTGGGCACGTCCATACCATGCCTAGCAGATTTTACCCCATAATCGAGCACTACAATACGCGATACAAACCACACTCGCACACGAACTCACGCCATGCATCAACTTTCACAATCCTCACACGTCTTGCCAAGTCCAACTCATTCTCAACCTTTCCACCACTACCGCGCCCGCGTAAAACGCATCAGGCCAACGGTCTTCTGACCTCGTCAGGCATCGTCACCCCGTCAGGCCGGGCATCGTCACCTCGACAGGAACGGCATCGTCCCGCGTAAACGAACACGCCTCAGAACGGAATCCTACACTCAACTTTCCTTCTACCGCGCCCGCGTAAAACGCATCAGGCCAACGGTCTTCTGACCTCGTCAGGCATCGTCACCCCATCGAGCCGGGCATCGTCACCTCGTCAGGGACGGCATCGTCCCGCGTAAACGAACACGCCTCAGGACGGAACCTTTCCAACTAATCCTACATTCCCGTACCTTCGTTCCACTCATACCACACATACCACACGGCCACACACAATCGCACACTTCACATACACTTCACAAATACACATTCTCGCCACATGAACACCACACGATCACCCATGCTTGGCACGCGAACTCAATGCGCAATCACACCATCACGCCTCACGGCCACACACTCTCGGCACACAATCACGCCACATTCAGCCCAAGACACAATCCAGAATCAACCAACAATCACAAATCATACAATCGCATATACGAACTCCAAAAATTCTAAATTTTGGATATACCATAAAAAACATCTTGATAAACATTTCTTATGAAGAACACCAAAATCCGGTTCAATCTGCAACCATGCCTTTTTGTTCCTCGAAATCAGGCCAAAATCAGTTCGCTCTAACAGACTATTTTGTCCTCAAAATACTTTTCTTTCAACACCCAAATCACCTTGAAAAGCTTTGAAATTTTTATATGTTATAGAAAAGAAAGTCTCCAACAACTTTTGTGAAGGAAGTTTATTGAAAACAAATCAGGAAAATTTTATAAAAATTCGGCAAGACAAGAAGGTCGGGATGAACAGTGTTCCGGGCGGTTTCAATACGGTCTGAAAATTTTTCGTACGACCCCAATGGCCTCCAAAAATTCTAAATTTAAAATATGTTATACTTCAAGATGTTGGGAGAAACTTTCATGAAGAAAACTTCCTCAATTTCGGCCCACAAAATTCTCTACAAAAATAGCAAACCGTACAGGTGCAGTAGTCACGAATCCGAGAATCACACCAAATCTCACGAATTCAAACCGTAATCGTTCCATATCATCACGGCCCTATCCGAACCTCCCAAATCTCATATTTCCACCCCTCAATTCAGTCCACGACTACCGAACATCCAGCCTCACTCCAAGTCCCAAAACAACCACACAAATCACCTAAACCGAGCCCTAAACATGCCCTACAATACCCGAGGTCCTAGGGAGAGTCTGGGGAAGTCACTTACTTTGAAAAGGTGGACAAACGGGCTGGACAAGAGGCTGGAACAGCCGGCCCAGCAGCAGCAGTGTCGCCGGCGGCCAGGCAACGAATGGCGGCGCGGCGGCGGTGTACCCGGCAATCGGCGATCACGCCCGGACGGAGGAGGGGATGACCGGCGGGAAATGGAGAGGAAAATGAGAGAGAGGGACTTTGCTTCGTGAGAAAGAAAAATGTGAAGAGAGAGAGAGGTCAAAGGGGTCAAATACTAGTGAGTGGATTCCATGTGTCACCATCTCCATTGCTTTGACCAAAATGCCCTTGATCCAAAGGCTTGGATTTAATCTTATCCAAAAATGGAGGGGTATAATTGTCAATCGCTTGGCTGAATTA